AACATTAATAATTGATGTTACTAATCTCAAGTAATTTAGAGCAAAGCATGGCAGTAAGAAGTGAAGTATAACAGGCTACTGGGGAATAATGACCAACTCTTAAATTTTTAGCAGAACTGTAATCCAATACCCCCTTACACGAAAGTCTGTACACAGCAACTGAAAGACCTGCAAAATACGGACAAATCTACTACTTTCGAGACTGTGGGATATACATACAAGAATATTTAATATGTTTATATCCTTTGAGATGTTGGCATGCTATTATGACCAGCAAATATGATTATAGTTTGTGTCTGGATATCCCCCAACAAAGCCTCATGCAGTCATGGGGGCAGGCTTCTAGTTTGTGACTGACTGGTGATCCAATGCTAGGATTATGGGTGAGTGCTACAACCACCCCAGTGTGTATGTGGCCTATATACAACATAAGAGACAGAAAGAGTCTTCTCTCCATGTTCCTCCCTTCTTGCTCTTGTTGCTTTTGCTATCTTCTGCCACCATGCACTGTTGCCTTCTGCTATGTGCCATTCTGCTTTGGTGCTAGCGGATTATGGACTGAAACCTCCAAAAACTGTGAGCTAGATAAATCCTTCTTTCCTTAATTTTGGCATCAAGTATTTTGTCTCACCAACAAGAGCAAAGTAACCAACACAAATACATACTGCATTGACTAGCTCTTTTTGTTCACCCCTTCTTAACACTTCAATCAATAATTTCTTTCCTTGTGGGCACCTAACAAATGCATCTAATGGTCTAATAAGGAATGCCAACTGTAACTCTTTGGCTGGCACTAGACCAATATGGGTTCTCTCCAGGGTTTGCCCAAATTGGAACTAAGAGCAAAGATGATACATGGCTTTGGAGCTGCCAGCAACGAGGTACCCCTATTGTTGAACACTGCTGGGCCACAGTGATTTAATGATGAGCAAATAACATCTGAGCCAAAGGGCTCTTATGATCTAAGAGAAATTTATTTGCAAACATACCTAGAAGTCAGAATGGATTGTTAAATAAGTTATGGTAACAAACACAATCAATTTTTTAAACTACTAATAAAACAATGCCAGTGTCACTATTTGAATGTCATTTTACATACTTTGATTTTGTAACCTGAACAGCTATTTCTAAGATATGTAACTTATCAACTGGCAATTTCTTACCATTTACTTTTCTGTAATTCTGTATTATTTTTACCCATGTATTTTTTTTGTTTCTTTCTCTTTAAATAAAAAAAAAAAAAAAATTAAAAAAAAAATAAAACAGTGCCAAAGAAGAATGTGCCCAGGAAGCACATGTATGATGACAAGGAAGAAGCATATCACAGAAGTATGGTAGAGACTCTACCCTGCACAAGTATGCACGTACGTGCACGTGTGCACGCTCACGTGTATATATGCTGTTTATAATAATTCTTCTAATTTGCATGTAGTATATGGTCCCATTTGCCTGAGTATGATTTTTGCATGAAGAGGTCAATCCAACAATTTCTTACAAACTAACCCAGAACTCATGCAAATAAGCCACTGTGTGTGATAGGTGTACAACCCTAAGTGTGTTGGGTGGGGCAGGGAAGGGCGGAGTCACTGGCTCTAGCCTCAACAGCTGAACATGCAGGGTTCACGTTTATCTACAACTGTGGAAGAGTTTTACTAATAAATTCCTCATGTCAATGACAAAACCTGTGCTAAAATCCAGAGACTATGTCATAGCCCTCCAATACTTCTTTTATTCTTGATATTCCTGCCTATAGGACTCTTCTCTCCAGAACATTCTCCTTAGTTACAAACATCCCAACAGCTCTTAAAGACAACACATACCCTAGAAGTACAACCCCATCAGCAATATGGCCACAGCAAATCAGGAAAAACCCCTTTTATTCTCCACAAGAGACCGTCTCCTGAAAGTCTTACCGTTTAAAATTCATTCCCTTGATAAAAATTCAACCCTTCCTCTTTACTATTCTTGTCCCCTTCTGATACACTGGGAACAGTCTCCCAACTTCACTAGCAAATAGCGCTTATGCTTTCTTCTGCTCTCACTTCCCAAGGAAATGGTAGTAATTTTAGATCTAAAACACATCCGTCATGGTCTGTCAAGGGGCACAGACTGACACAGCCTCTTTTTGAGGTTTAAACTTCACTGCTTAATATTTTAATTCTGTGAGAATCAACTTTAAAACCTGAAGATACATAAATTAGTCAGATGTAAAAGCACCTATAGCTTAGTACATCATTTCATTTTTTAACCCATTAAGGAAAATCTAGACAACTGGGTACAGCAAATGCTTAACATCTATGAAGCTCTGGGTCTGTTCCTCCAGCATAACCAAAAATAAAAAGGAGGAGGAAAGGAAAAAAATTCAGACAAGCTTCCAGATTTAGTACCTATCTATACTTGGTGGGTGCTCACAAATAATCAACAGGACAGGGTACAAAAACTCAAGAGACAATGAAAACCGACGGATGTACTTAGCAAGGAACATGCTGTAAAATCTGACTTACCAGTCACCAGCAGAAGGAGCCCAAGAATAATGACACCAAAAAAGGGATATTCATCCAGGCTTTATAATTATGTTCAGAGACACCACAAGATGATATGTTCACTTCTTATATTTAAAAAGAGGTGCACAGATGTGAGAGGTGATTTCCTTAAGAATGCAGCCTGGGTTACACATCTGGATTATAAATCACATTAGTCACTGACGCCTACTTAATAAAAAAAAGAAGTTGAAAATAAATAAATGATTAGTTGGAGGTATGTGACTTTCTAAAACTCTCCTAGGGAGAAAGCTTTATTACCATTATTAGTGAACTGTTTTTAATCCCCAACATCAAAGCACAGATGTTAACCTTAGATGGAACTAAAATAACTCATAAATGAAATACTGTGAGAAACTGTCACATATTAACATTAGCCTGTCAGCCAATTCACAGGAGATTCCATGAATAAAGAGAGGTATGGGCAGAGGCAGGGTCAGAAGAGCCAGGTGAAGTTCGGTTCCACTATTGACAAATGCTGAGGCAAACTGATCTAACTTCCTATGCCCTGCTTTACTCAACAGAGGGTCCAAGAATAATATGTTTTAAAAGCCTTTTACAATCCTACATTTCTCAAGCTCTTGGAGAACCACAGAACTTCAGGGTGTCAAAGTAATTCCATGTCAAGTATGACAAAGGAGAAAACATCAAGACCCAAAAAGCCTTAAGAGCACTATCCAGCAAACACTTGTGAGTTAGGGAAGCATGCAATGAAATCAAGACAGCACAGAAAGACAAATATCACATGTTATCCCTAATATGTGGAATCTTAAAAAGATGAGATTAAAAATAGGGTGTCTATTATTAGATCAGGGAAGGAAATAAGAGAGAAAGGATTGTAAGGAAAAGTAACAAGGATCAAATCATATGCACTGAAACTCAGTATTTTTAGAAAATTAACAGGCACTAATAACAAGAGGCAAATTTTTAAAAATAAGATAATTCATAACAAAACTTTTCTAGGCACTAACACAAAAATATATATAATTTCCCCTGCTTTATTTTCCTTTTCTAAATTTAACTGTAATACTTTACAGTTAACTGTAGTACTTTACAGTACTTTAGGAATTAAACCAAACTTCCAAGCATTCCATCAGAAACAATAAAAACAAATCCATTTATCTAGCTATGGGGTTCTCAACCCTACTCTCAATCCAACAGCAACAAAATCCTTACAATTGGCTTAGAAATCTCTAAGTGGAAACATCAACATAAAATTAACCTCCAGCTATACTGGTGGTATTCATTATAATATGGATTAACTCCACTAGCCCAAGGATACTGTTTTTAATGTTCCCTGGTAGATAAAAAATTAATCAGCAACTCAGAAGAGTAGTTGCCTAAAAACAGACAATTTAATCAAAACAATTTTCTCTAAACGTGCCCTCAATCATCCAGTATCAAAAACCCACTATGGCACCAAGTAAATTGTATGTGGTTGAAGAGACAAAATGTTCTTTTGGCTGTTACGGAAAACAGAAAAAGGCTGACTACAAATCAGTTATGTTTTAGCTCTACCATGAACATCAATTATACTAATTTAGAGATTTTGGTGGTGAAACCAAGAAAGCAGGAAAACAAATGCTTCCAAATTCCAATAAAAGTTTGTGGCACAAGAACTGCAAGACAAGGTCGTGGAAAATGACCTCAGATTTAATTTTGGGCTTTCCTACCTCCATTAAAATCGGTGACAATATTTCCCATCCCTTAAATCATAACAGTTGAAAAGCTGGGCTGTTTACTTGGCAGGTGAAAGAACAACTTCAGAAGCAATCCTGAAGATGTCAGACATCCTCCTTTATTCCTGCACACTTTTCACTTTAAAACCACAAGCATATACTTATGATGTTTTTTGATTGACGCCCACCAAGTATTCTGGCTTGTTGAAACTTTGCAGGATGGCATACTGGAAGGAAAGTCCCCTGTGAGATCTTTAAGTAGCTTAGATGAGGAAAACATTCGAAGTACCATAATGAACACCTCACAGCCGCTCATAAATTCCTTCATTCTCAGCAATCAAGAAGCAGCTGTTAAAATCCAGGACTCTTCCTAGCAGCAGATCTGAAATACCTCCAGACTGCCTACAGAAGCTTCCCAACTGCTTTCTTCTCCTTCCCCTCCCCCGTCCCAGGACTGCCAGCCTGGCAGGAATAAAGATGACCCAGGAAGGAAAACGAGAAAGAGTAGCGGATCTGATGAAGCAAAGATGCAGACTCCGGATCACTTCAACTACAGAAACACCAACCCTCAGTGCCAACTAATCAGGTTTCTCCTTTCCTCTCCTACCCCACCCCCTCCAAACACATTTAACTTCTGCAGTCTGGTGCGTCTGGCATTTCCACAGTTAGTGACCTCAGTAGTCCTGAGTCTTTTTCCCAAAGGCTTAAACGAGGGAGCTTCCTTTCTGCGCCACTTTGAGTCCATGTCACGTTTACGATTCAGCTTTCCTTTACCGCGTACCTTCAGGGACGACGCCATCCCTAGGGTCAAGTTCAAGATGAAGGTGCCCTCCTCATTTCCCAGAGTTGACCCGGGCAGGGAACAGGGCTCCGGGGACGAGTACCGTGCCTCGCAGCACTGGGATCTGGGTCTGCGAGAGGGCACAGGGAGCTGGAACACGACGGTCGCCGGGCGGCGTCCTCCGCCCCTGGGACACGGCGCAGGTTCTCCACCTGGTCACCACCGCGTTTCCGCCCCGAGCCGTGCACCATAAGCCAAGTAAGTTTTAAGAACCTCAGCCCAGAAGACCTTCCCATCTGCAAACACGCCTTACAATGCCTAGGACTTCCTTCCCGGCCAGCCGTTCCGGAAAGCCGCTGCGCCAAAGCGGGGAGTCCCTCACACCCCCAACGCTGCGCTCCGCACCCGAAATCCTCCAGGAAGAACTTCCCCCGGGGACGAGGGGGATGTTCCCCCTGATGACTTCCCCCAAAGTGACCACTCTGCGTCCGAGAACAAGGAGTCACAATCTCGCCACATCGTCTTTCTCAGTCTCACATCGTCTTTCTCAGTCTCACCGATTTAAAATCCCTCCAAACCTAATTGCAACTCACCCCACCTCCATAAAATAAAAGAAGATGGATACGCGAGTCGCAGTGTTGTAAGACGCCAAGCAATAGACTGCCCCGGTTTAAGTTCGGTAACTTCGCTAGGCGCGCGCCCAGACACCCGGGACCCAGCGTACCAGGTGCGCGGCGCCTCCCTCCCCCCGCCCCAGCACAGGCACCAGGCGCTGCCTCGGGCCCTGCCAAGCCTGGGGTTCAAGGCAGGCGGGAAAGGGACGGGCAGGCGCCGCGGGGCGGGGGTCCTGAAACTCGCGGGCGCCCGTGTGTTCCCAGCTCGCCCTTCTCCAGCTCCGCCGCGGCCAGTGCGCAGGAAACGGCGCGGGGAAGGCGCGGACTCCCCCGAGACTGCGAGACGAAGGCCCGGGGCGCCCAACATGTCTGTGCCTATCCCTGGAAAGCTCCCGGGTGTGTCCGGCGGAGGAGGGGGCGCCCCAGAAACTTTCCCACACTCCTTTCACCATCCGCCTCTCCCTCCCCTCCTCCCCGGGACCCTCTTCCCTACTCCGCACCGCGGCAGCCGGCCCTTCCAGGGACGCGGCGAGGCCCGCGGCGGCGCGCGGGCAGCGCGAGTTACCTGCCGGGAAAGTTTCCAGCTCCCAGGGCGGTTCCCCACCCCCAGGGCCGGGCCTCAGGGCGCGGCCGGCTCGGCGCTGCGCGGCTGCCTCTTCACCGGCTTCCGAGCTCGGCTCCCGCAGCTGCCACAGCTAGGGCTGCGCTCCGGCCCGCCCCCCCGCCTCGCTCTGCCCACACCGGGGCCTCATTGGCAGCGCGAATCCCCGCCCTTGCGCGTGTTCCCGAAGGCACCTTCCTCTCGCGCGCCCGCCCCGGCTGCGCCTTCCGCGCCCCTCCCCGCCCGGTGTCGCGGCTGCCCGGGGACCCGCGGGGGCAAGCGCTGTGCTCCCGGCTCCTCCTCCCCCGGCTGGGTTCAGGCGGGCGGCAGCTGAGCTTTCCTTGAGGGCCTGGTGCCCTGGGGCTGCAGCTGGCCCCTCTAGAATGGGACGAGCTGGGTGATAGTGTTTTTTGCAGCCTCTTTAAACTCAATACAGTGACCCACTGCTTTTTTAAATCGGCCGAGGACATATGGGAGCAATTAGCTTCCAGAAGTTGCTGTGGATGCTTTTAGGGTGGCTTGTGTGGCTTTCTTGGACTTTCCCTCACTTAACTACATACACACAAACACAAACACTTTTTGGGACCAAAAATGAGCTAAGGGAGGTGGAAAGTATAAGAAGGCATCTCACTGGCTGTGCCTTTTTCTTCTCCGAAGGCGAGTTAGGACATTGGGCACTCATGACTGCCCAGGCGTCCTGGGGCCCGGGTCTGCAGCCTCCTGCGACCTCTCTGGCTTGGCCCATGCTGTCTGGGCCTCAGTGGAGACCAGCGGAGGCCGGCGTCGTGCTCCTGTCGGCGGGAGGAGGGCAGCCGGGAGGGGGAGAGCACACAAAGATGCTATTATTATGTCATTCAGTGCCAGTAAATCAAACTCCCGGGTTCCCAAAATGTTTTGTTATTCGGTAGAGCAATCTCTAGAGTATGGTTTAGAGATTCAGGAGTCTTGGATACTACAGATTCTCCCAGGAGTCCAGGCAGCCGGTCCAGCCTGGGCTAGGGTCACCCTTTCCATCCCCTAATCTTTTTGGGAAGGATTCACTGGAAAAGCTGCGGCCTTGTGTGCACAGCGGGAATTGTGCGCCGGTCACCCCACCAGTGTTCCTGGAGCACAGAATACAGAAGTTGCTATAAATGGATTTATTGGTAACCCTTAACCTCGCTGTGGCAAACCTGCCTTTAAAGACAACTGTGTTTTAACCAGTTTCCCCATAAAAACTTCAACCTCACGCAGAGCTTCCCAATATAAAGGTACTGGCAGGCATGGTGTCGACATTGAAAGTTCTTGTGAAAAAGGACGGGAAACAAAATGCCACACAATCACTCCACAATAAATAAAAGATTACTGAAATGTGGTGCATTTTTCACCCCGAGTTTCAAAGGCCTGCTTATTGCTATGTTGATATTTGAGCAGTAAACATATCAGCAGCCTTGAGGTCTTCCTGAAACAAAGCAGACTATAAATATTTAAAGTAAAATACAAACTCAGTAAGCCAAGAAAGCTATTGATTTCTTTCTCCACTCTGAAACGTCTCGCTGCTAAAAAAAAATATATATATATATATATATGCTTATGTTTTATTTAATTAACTTCTCTTGAATTAAATACATTAAAGTTACCAATCTTTCACCATGAGATAACAAAGTCAGACAGCAACTATCATGATAAAACAGTGATCCAAACAAAACACAAAAACTTCAACGTGGTCTATTCTGAAATATTGAAATGTAAGAGAAGCAATCCTAAAAAATAAACTGACACAATTTCCTGATTCAGAGTTCGGTATAAATGACAAAATATATGATGGATGAAATTGTAATTTGCATCACATTCTCTTTTGACTCTATTAAGGTATATTTTCAAGTTAGAAATTGCTGTTAAACTCTGCCTTTTTCCTGTTTATCCTCAAAACTCTCTATCAAGTAAAGAAGTACCTAAATATGTTAATTTCCATCATCTTTATTTTCATTTGAAAATTTTGTTTCAAACGTCTCAGAAGTTACAGTCTTGAGAGAAGTAACTTCATCACTGCCCTTTAGGAGCACTTGACATTCTAAACAGGCATACAGCCAGCAATCTGAAATTTGTACACAGAAGGGCCCTGTCTGCCTTCTTCCTGTAGTATTTACATAATCCAAACTGTATATGTTATTATCCACAATCTGATGGCCAGCTCTAAGCAGTTACCAATACATACAATCTGTTGTACTAAGAATACCAAGGCTGTCTTATGCTGTGAGTGAAAATGGTACATTTTAGGAAGTCAAGGCCAAAAACAAGAGTTTAAAAAAAAAAGGTGAGACAAAAAGGAAGCTTCCAGGAAAATTGGGTTTAATTTTTTAAAATTGAACATTTTCAAAGTATCTCAATATGTAAAGTAAATAGAGCTGATCACAAGCTCTAAAAAAAAGAATTTAGTACTTATTTTTTCTGGTGTTTTTGAGACAGGGTCTTGCTAGGTAGCCCAGGCTGGCCTCAAACTCCTGGCTATCTTTCTGCCTCCCCAATATGATTACAAGCATGAGCCACAATGGCCAGGTGAATTTTAGTACTTTTTAGAAATCTGCTTTTCCTTAATAAAAGATGTTTTTAGTTAGCCGTTAAGGGATAGTTCGTTTATATTTTCAGAGGGGAGAAGAGCATAAGAATTACCTCTTGCTTTTTGGGGGGTATCTCTGCTCATTCAACTTGAAGTTCATATATTACATTCCTGTTGATAGCAGCAGAAATAAATTTAAAGAGAAATGCAGATCACACATTACGTGTTGTATGCCTTCCGCACACATACATACAATATGCTAGATTCCATTTTAAAATTAGCTGTCAGTTTTCCTGCAATGTATGTTTTTGCAGTGGTGAGAGAAAATAACAAACAATACACTAGTTATTTTAACATAAAATGTACTGCCCAGGGCAATAGGCTGAGGAAGACGTGAGAAAAGAATGTGTCTTGTGAATGTTGGTATGCTTTTATTCCTTGTTTGGATTCATAACTACTTTTTTTTCCCTTGTGCTAGGATCAAGCCCAAGGCCTCAGGCATGCTAGGCAGGCACTCTACCACTGAGCTACACTCTAAAATCCAGGCTTCTATTTTAAATCGAGTTTAAGATCATACCTAGTGTTTATTATGTATGTGTAGTACAGAGTGAGAAGTGAAATGTTTAAAACAGTGTGGTAATTAAATACAAAACCCAAGTCAAGACTGAGAAAATAAAATAAAATAAGAAGAAGAAAGGGTAGGAAATCCAGACTCAAAACAATGAAGCACACAACACACTCTCCTTTGGTGGGTTTTTGCAATGTTTGTAGAATTCATTGTTCTGTAGTTCATCATTTTTCCTCTCCCTTTTTATATTTGTGAGGAAGAAAAGAATTTCAAACATATAAGGAATAATAGAGTAAATTGAGTGTGGTTAAAAATCAACTAATAAAAGCAATGAAATTACATACCTCAGTACAGACCCTGTGTATGTAATGATCCATGATCACACAAGAATACGAGCACTGTGGTCAGGTGCAGGCTAATGGAAGACATTCATTCAGGAGAGTCATCACTGTGCACGGTTAGCCAGGCTGGTTAAATTAAAGGAGTCATGGGACACATAAACCTTCCAACAGTTCTACCACATGGCCTGCCACTACTGTGGAAACCCATCAAAATGGGTTAGGCAGTGAATTATTTAAACCCATCCGAAATCCACTGAGGGAGGAAAGCTGAGAGATAGTTCCAGGAGTTTACATTTTCTTATAAGATCATGGGAACACTAGCTAAAGTGCTAGGAAAATCTGCTGTAAGATGACATGCCATCAGACTAGTATTTCGAAGACGGACTTGGTAGAATCTTCTGATGGTAAATGGTCTTTAGGGGAAACTGGAATTTTCTCTTTTCAAAAGAGGTAAAATGGGGCTGGGGATTTAGCACAATAACTTTAACTATTAAAGATGCCTTCTAATCGAGTTCCATCCCTGGTACCGATAAAAACAAAAAAGACAATAAATAAATAAAAATAAAGTGTCAATTTCACCTTTCAGTGAGCTGTACAAGAAAAGGCACTGAAATTGTATCTAGGTGCCAGTTCTGATTTGGATATTGTTTGTAATTATTGGTGATCCATTTAGGTTTTTTGAGCCTTGGGTTTCTAATCTATGAAACAGAAGAATATTCTCAAGTGTTACTGGAAGATGAAATAAATAAGGTGAAAATGCTTAATAAGTTAGAAAATATTCTATGAAAGTTAATTTTTGTTTAATAGACATTAGCTCTTTATCCTTTGCTGTTATCTGGGACTACCTCCCTTTGGAATACTACCCTAAAGGTATCAGCAGATGAGGACAGAATGCCCACATTTTACTTTGAGGAACA